CAGGGAAATAAGGGTTGTAATAAAGACCTTCACGAATTTCAATACCAGCTGGTGGATCAACATAACCAGTTAGAAGAGCAAATAAATAATCCTGAAATTTTTAATAAATAAATAAATAAGTAAACAAACAAAGAAACAAACAAACATGAATTTGAAATTTCACAATTAATATAAAATGTAATAATAATACATACTGAACCATGTTCACGTGCATTAATAATTAATGAAAGATCTGGTGGAAGAGCTCCTCCATTAGAAGCACGAGCAGCCTCATCATTTGGGTAAGGGCGTGGCATGTAATCAGAAAGCCTTCCTGGCCTTTGATAATATTCACCAATATCATTAGGACCATCATTGTATTCTACTTCCTCGGCCATTGCTTTCACTTCCTCTTCACTGTGTGACACACCTACTAAATGACGCCAAGCAACACGTTCAAGAGAATGACACGCAGAACAAACTTCTCTATAAACTTGATAACCACGACGGATGCTTTTATTTAGTTCCAAATTGTTTTTATAAACATAGATATAGAAAGAGCAATCAATCTAATTAACCATCAATTCTAATCAAAAAAATATGTGTTGATTCAAATGCTTTAAAAGGATTGATATATTTTTAACTTTTTAAATATCACAAAAAATCTCACCTAGCATGGTCAAAGGTATTGAAAGGACTACGATGAATCCAAGGATATGAAGGTGGATGAAGACCTTCTTCAGCCATATTAGCATGAATTGGATTAAAATAAAGGTAACAACCAATACCAACTGTTGTTGTTGCTGCCAATGCTGGGGCAGCTATGAATTTTGTATACTATCAAAGAGATTTTCGTTTATATAAAAAAAAAGAAAATTCAAAATTATTAAATTTTCACAACGATTTTCCTTGAAAATTTTTTTTGCATAATATCCGTAATAATTAATATTATTTTGAAATTTTTTCGTTCCGAATGCATAGAACATTGTTACAATTAACAGTAACTACCTAGACTTCAAAAAATAAAGTTTTCATTGTATAAATACGAACCGACTTAGATGTAGTAGAAGTACCCGTTATATTCCGTGTCTATTCATCCAGAATTTTAATTATTTAACTGAAAAAAAACCCCTATATGAAAAGAAATATATTATATATGTTTGCTAACCCGTTTAGGGGTGACCTTAACCCACTGCTTAATAGTTTTTTTTGCAGTTTGACTCGAAAATCTTGAAAACATAATCCCTTGAAATTAAATTAAATTTTTTTAAAAAATTTTTTTAATCTAGTATAACATTCGTGTTACTTTAATAAACCTTTCCTTATTAAATCTATCTAAAAAATGTCTGAACAAACAATTTCAACAGAAAAAAAAAGGTGAAATTGTTCATTATTAGATACAGAAGAGCAAAATAAAAGACGTTTTCAAATAGAATTAGTATTTATTCAATGTTTAGCAAATCCATGATATTTACATGATTTGTGAAATTATTAGGATTATAATATATATTTTTTATATATCTTTTACTGATTTGATGTAAAAGATTTAGCTCAAAAAGACTATTTTCAAGATCGAGCGTTTCTTAACTATTTAAATATTGGAAACGACCCTGAATATGCAAAAAATATTAACATGATATTTTTAAAATTTACATTGATTGGTAATTATTCATTCTAAAACAAATTCAACGTTTCATGCACTTCACTTTTTAAATCTTCTTCAAAATCCACAATTTCGCCAAGATTTGAAAAAACAAGATATAGCAACTGAGATTCATTCTAAACAATATCATCATTGGATGGCGTGGAGAAACATTGATGTGAACGTACGTAATTGGACCAATAAGTAGTAGTAGTAATGCATAATAAAAATGAAACTTGCCGCTGGTATGCCAAAATTTATTTAAATCATCTTGTCTTGTTTAAACAGTATAAAAAAATTCGATTATTTTATAAATGTTGTTTTCATTAGCGAATGAATCAACATGTACAAAGTTCATATAGATAATCGAAACCATCAAGTAGATCGATCAGTTCATTTAAATCTTGATTTTAATATATCTCCTTCCCGATTTAATTTGAATAATTCAATAGGTCTACGATTATTTGAATCATCGCAATGTCTTATTAGCCAAAACTTATAGCTTCATGATCAAACTTTATCATAATTTTGATTTAAATATGTTACATCTCCTTGCAAGAAAAGAATTCTAATACTAACAATATAATTCGAATAAAACGAATAATTCTAAAATTAATGATCCAAATAAAATAATATATTAATATCTAAACAAAATATTTGTCTTTATCAATCTATTTTTCCTTTGTAGTATATAGTGATAATAATAATAAATAGTGGCAGGAATAGTAATTGAAACAATAACAACAACAATAATATAGAATTTGTTGTATCAAGTTGTGGCTTAATATTAATATTTTATACATTATAAAACGAATAATTCGAATAATCCGAATAAATATAATAATAAATGAATAAAGAAATAATTCGAATAAAATGATGAATTGTATTACTATTACGAATAGAAACTCTAGGTGATGATGTACAATCCAGAGATAATTATTTATTAATTGTAATATTAATATTATCTATTTAGAAACAAAACCGTTTGTGTTAGATACCAGTTAAAAAAATAAAATTTGACTTACAGTTTTAGATAAATTAAATTTATTTTGTTTTACCAGTGACATCAAAATATTCTAGCAATCAATTGTTTAAAGTGACCGACTTATCGAATTTACATGTGTATAGTGCAAAGTCACTTAGTCCCACAACTTTCTGTGCCACGCCGCCAATTTTGAGAAAAAATTTCCAATCGAATATGCAATAAAAATTTTACAGTCACATGATTTTTGAAAATTGCCAAGTGCTAAAAAAATTTTTTTTTACATTTATTCCTATATATACGATGATTAGAACAATAAACAACAACAATAATGATTATAGTGATGTTATTAAATATTAGTTAAAATAAAAGAGAAATTTATATAAACTATTGAATGATTGATAAAATCTTCGTTAGTATGTTTTGTTCATAGATCTTGCTTGTCCTTAAAGCTTACTTCGATTACTCCTACACAAACTATTAAATAATTGATAAACGTTCATTAGAATATTTTGCAAATTGCACATTTCTTTGATTGATGCAATAGTCTATTATTGGATTTAAAATAAATGAACTTAGCTGTTCTTTGTATTTTTTTTTAATAATAAAGATAATTCTCTTCCCGTTCATCTGGAAAATTCGCGTGATAAAAGATCTGCAATATAAGGGAAATCTATTTTTAAACTTTTTTGTGTGTAACACGTCATTTTAGAGCTAAACATAGTAACTTCAGTAAACTTGTGCAACTTTGAAGTTCAAATTCTCCACAACAATATGACATATTAAAATCAATGAGGAAGGTCTTGGCTTCAAATACACGATTTATTTTGGAGTGGGTATTGCATTTCTATTTTCAGATAATTTGAAAATCTACGAGACCAATAAAAAGTTGTGGGACTAAGTGACTTGCATCATACTACAATAATAAATTATCAAAGGGTAAATTTTTTCTTTCCAAAAAAAAAAAGGTAAACGACACAGTGACGATTTAAATTCTTTCTTTGCATATTATTATTTAATATTAATATTATTTATTATTAAACAAAAAATAAGAAATATTGTTTTTCCTAAGTGAAATAATTGATTTTATAATGAGTGAATTTGTATTTTTCTACCCAAAATCCCGAGCCGTTTTAAAGTTGTGCTTGACCATCTAAAGTTGGGGACTTTCCTAATAATGTTTTTTATTATGCATATATGGGATATTGTATCATAATATTTTGTGCTAATGGGACACGAAGAAAAAATTTTTTATATATAAACTAGGAAGTGTATTTATTACTTCAAGCCCATTTCAATCATTCTCTTATTCCTCGTGTACATAAAGCTAAGTCCATCAAGCTTCTCCCTAAGGTATGATGACGCAATTAAATTTTCAGGGGACACATTGCATTGAGCTTTATTGGAAATTGCATTGTTGTCAAGGAGACTGTTAGAGCCTTCTGGAATACAATCACCAATGGAGAAATTTCCATGTGTTGTTGCACCTAACTATATACATGTTTTGAATGTTAATCGGATATATTCGTAATTGCATGCATACAATACACACGCATATGGGCACAAAGAAAAGGTGACTCGACCACTAAAATGTTTTCACTATCACTTTGATGGATAATTAATTATCTTACAGGAAAAGAGGTTAATATTAAAATCCAAACAAAAACATTACGGGTTTATTTTTCAATTCTGCCAGATTTTCTCATCTTTATTGTATGTGGCTTTCCCAAAATTGGTTTCTTAAAAGTTCATTTCTCCATGGTCCTAGTATTATTATTATCAACTCAAGAATAACAACATTAAATTTATTAATACATGATAAACATTGTAGTACGGAAGCCAAAGTATACATATACAACAATAAAGAGATAAGTCATGTTTTGTTTATTTTGATTCAGAAAAATCCATAATAACTTATGTCGGAGCACTTGCATGAGAGGAAAATACTCGGATCTGTAAATTTGAAATCTATAATTAAAAATTTTGGGGGTGGTTAATATTAATATTAATATGTGATTGGCTGATACACAAAAAAGTAAAAAAAAATGGTAATAGTAACTAAAAAGGATGCAATAGATTTTAACAGTGATAATGACCGAAGTAATAATAATAATTCACGACAAATACACAAATTGCATCCGCTGGCATTTCATACAAGTTGAATAAATATTAAAAAGTAATTGTGATAATTTATTAATTGATCTTGATAATCTGTTAATTGAATACAATTTTAATAATATGAATTAAACAGTTAATTAATTAATCAATTATATATTAATTTAATCAATTATTGTTTATTATTTATTTCGTAAATCTAACAACATAAACTAATTATTAATTCAAGTTATCAAGATCAAAAAAGAGCATACATGTATTACTCTAAAAATAAATACTATTTTAAATTCTTTTTGCAGTTATAAAATAATTTACATGCAAATTTAAAGGTAATGATTTAACTAGTTCAAACCATTTTCCAGTTATAGGATTAAGACCTATTCCTGTCACATCAACAACTTTACCCCACATATTATTATGATTGTGGCTATTAGGATAAACATCATTGTCATTGTTATTATTATGGCTGACATTTTCAATCATATTTGTTAATTCATCATGTCTTATATATTTGTTAAAGTCATGAGTTTCGTTTGGCACTAATTTTAAAATATTTTGAGCCAATATTATTGTTAACAAATATGATAACGGTGTACGCGAAATTGTTGAAAGAAACAAGAATCCTCCTAAATCATCGTCATCATTAATTATCTTGGTGTTGTTGTTGTTGTTGTTGTTGCAAACTTTTGGCTAAAAACATTAACAATTGTAAAAATTAATGAAATTAAAACCAAATAAACAAATTAATGACATTTAATAAATCATACTTTGATTAATCTAACACATGAATCAATGAATTGAATAGGATTATTAACATGTTCAATGATTTCCATTGCACATACAATATCAAACAATTCACCATTGTTAACTAATTCCTCTAATTAATAAAAATATGTGTGTGTGTACATATAAGTTATAACTAACATAATAATGACACAAGATGTTGATAAAAATACCTGCAGTTATACATTGATATTCTAAATTTCCTGGTCCAGAAAATAATTTAGGATCTTTGAGTGAGTGTAATTTTGCAATTTTAATATTTTCAGATGATGCATCTACGCCTAAAACTGATGCACCTAATCTTACCAAAGACTTTTGAAATAATTAAAAGAAAAAACTGTTTGTTTAGTCAAAATAATCCAATAAAATAAATTTTAATAAATAATAATAATAGTAATAAATTAACTTCGGATAAAAGTCCACCACCACATCCAACATCTAAGATACGTAAACCTTTAAACGGAAGATAATCATTATTATTATCATGGCTGATGTTGTAGTTGGTTGATATTGAATGATGTTTAGTTAATTGTTTTTGTATATACGATACTCGTAAAGGATTCATGCTATGAAGTAATTTAATTGGTCCATTATAAGACCACCATTCTTGCGCCATTTGACTAAATTTCGAAATTTCTGATTCATTTACGCTAGAAATATTTCTTTTAAAACTAACACAATATCAATTATAATACAAAAATAAATAAATATAAATGTAGATTAATTAAAAATTTACTTGATTCTGTGACGAAAAGTTGTGTTTGTTTGCTCAATGAAGAATTTTGAAAAAAGAATTTTATTTGCATAATTCAAAATATTTATTTTTTTATGCATCTTTTTTTACAAGTTATACAAATTCGAATTTTCTTTTTTTTTAATAAATAAAAATGGTCGGTCAACTACACAAATTGCAAGTTTTTTTAATTTAAAAAATATTATTAGTAGTAATAACATCATATCAATATTACTACATTGGTGGCATTAGTAGTAATATTATATTAAAGTAGTAGTAGTAATAGTAGTATTATTATTAGTGGTAGTAATAAATTTTAAAACCAAATAAAATATGAATTTTGGTAATGAAAAATCATTATCAGTGCCACCATCGTCACAATCATCATCATCGTCATCGTCATCGTCATCGTCAACGACGACAGATACAGATGATGGTGATGATAGACTATTAACTAGATTTGCAGGATTTGCAGGAAATGTTAACAATATGTTGGGAGCAGTCAGTATTTTTCTTTTATTTTGATCTTTTGTGAATATCTTTATGAATATGTATTTATTTATGAAATGGCATTATTTATTTAATTTTAGGGAATATTTTCCACGCCAGGAATTGTTTGGCAAAAAGTATGTGTTTATAGTGTATACTTGATATATATACTTTTAAATATTTATTTAAATTTGAGAATTTTTTTTTAGGTTGGTTCGCCTGGCGCCACGTTGATCCTATGGATATTAGGTGGGTTTATAAGTATGTGCGGATCACTTACATATGTTGAGGTAAATAATAAAAAAGAAGCTATAACAACCAAAAGGTTATTCATAATCCTAATTAAATATTGGGATATACCTAAAAAATTATTTTACTAATTAAATATATTTATTAAAAAGTTTGGACTCATCACTTTAGAAAGTGGTGGTGAAGTGGCTTTTTTTAAAAAAGCATTCCCTAAACCCAAAAGGCTTATGAGTCATATTTTCAGTTTTGTATGGGTTAGGTAAGTTTATAAAGAATTATGCATATAATAAATTAATTAATCAGATTTTATTTTATTAATAATTTATTACTATTATTGTTATTATTTAGTGCGATAAGACCTACATCCCTAGCAGCAGTATTGCAAGCCTTTTCGCAATATTTTTTATTTACTATTTTACAACATCCTAATGAGAACGAAAAAATCGAAAATTTCGAAAAATATTGTAATGATGTAAGAGGATTTCAGAAACAATTACATTCAAGTGACATCCAGAGTCTTGATTTTTGGAGAATAAAAGCTATTGGTATAGTAGCTTTGGGAATCATTACATTTTATCATATTCGTTCAAATATGTATGCAAATTTAATAAACCAAGTATTGGCCGTAATTAAAATCATCACTATATTTATCATAATAATAATTGGTCTTGTTGCACCCTTTGTAATTGACATAAATACTGCCAATTGGACAAACCTGTTCCAAGGTACCACTCCTACAACTCCAGACGTTGCTAGTGCTTTAATTTCAGTAAGTTATTCATATTCATCACTCATTAAATAATATAAATCTAAATTATCCTAATATGTAATTATGAATTTTTCACCATCTGAAGGCTTTCTTTGCATATGAGGGTTGGAATAATTTGAACTGTTGGTATCTTTAAATGATTGAAATATTAATTATATATTTAATTATATATATATTGTTTATAATTTATCTTGTATATATTTTTTTAATTAAATAGATTCTTTGGATGAATTCAAAAATCCTAGAAGAAATTTAAAGTACAGCAATAGTCTTAGTGTTCTTGTTGTAACTATATTATGTATGTTAAACTTAAAATATTAATGTTATTATCATTGTATATATATATTTAATTAATAATCGATTTACTTTTTTATTTACAGATACTCTTATTAATGCTGCCTTTATAACAGTTTTACAGCCAGATGAGGTAATTAAATTTGGGAAGGATCCTAACGAAGTGATAGCAGGGTTTTTTGGTAAACGGATATTCGGTGACATTTTTTCAAGAGTATTGACTTTACTTGTTTCTCTGTCGGCTTTTGGTGCAGCATCTTCTATGACATGGAGGTTAGAATAATAATGTTTCTTTTTTTAAAAAATATTAAGAACTAAATAGCTTATTTTATTGTTTTTAGTGGTTCCCGTGTCATTGTGGCCTCTGCAAGAGACGATCTTTTACCTTTCTTCCCCGTTTATTTAAGACAATTACATGATGATTATTTAACACCTTTTAATGCTCTTTTAGCGCAATTTATATGGAGTGTGATAGTTTTCATAGCTGTTGGTGCATTTTCCACAGACTCATTTAAAGTGTTATCAGATTTTAACATATATCTTGTGTGGATTTTTTATTTATGTGCTAGTATTGGTTTGTTGGTAAATAAAAAACCATTTCTATATAAATTCTCTTCCTTTATTTAATATTATTTTGATGACAGCAATCTAATATTTATTTATATTTAATAAATCAGTGGCTTAAATATAAAAAACCAAATCTTCACCGATCATTTACGGTTTGGTGGGGACTAACAGTCATATTCATGCTTTCCGCAGTATTTATAATTATTGGAAATACAATGACACCAGATAAAACACAATATTCCGATGATACTGGTATATTAGGTTGCCAAGAAGATACAGCAAACCCACCAGAATATATAAAGGTAATCTTAAGTATTGTATTTATAATTGCCGGTGCTATTGCTTGGTATTTTATGGATTATAGGAGACCTCTTCCAGACCAACCAATTCCATAAACTCGTGCGGTTTCATTTTAGTAAAGTGTCATTACTATTACACACATTACACACGTTCGTTCAATTTCTTCACTTTGAAAAAGTGTTGTTTAAACCTTTTTTTTTCTTTGACATTTAATTTATTTATTATTATGTAAAATAAAATAAAATCGAATTTAAAAAATATACTAGTCGTAATCAAGTTTCATACTGCCAGACAAATTTGTTTTTGTGATAAACTTTATAATTATTACTTTCGTCATAATAACGAGTATCAAAAGCTGTCGATCACGAGTGAATAAAAAAAAATACACGTGTTTATTCTTGAATAATTAATTTAACAGTTCGCACAATCTGCAGTAGGCCTAAGGAGAGTGATTGCAATCCTGAAAAATAGGCATAGGAGGAAAACAAATCCTTTGTGATTTTTCTTGCTTTGCCAGAGTTTATACACCCCAGTTTTCATCCAAGAGTTGGGCTGGGTCCCTTATGCGAGTATTGCAATTTTTAGCAGACTGCTTCTGGACTTTCAGACATGATCTGATTTAATATGGTCATTGAATATTTGGTTTGCAACTCAAAAATTAGAAAAATCAGACAAAAATAATGATCGAATGATTGATTATACACCTTGTCCATCAGTGAATGATTATGACATTGAGGAAGATGGTGCAATTCGAAATCATATGGATGAAGGATGTAGTTTCGAAAAGAAAATCAAAAGAAGATACATGCTACAAATGTAGATGATACACAATGTATGATTCAGAAGAAAGCGAGGCGGATAAGAAAAAGATCGCAATACTAGTGCTGAGATACTGAAATACACCAAAAAGAAAAAGTATCTATCATTGAAAATGTCGATGAAGCTTTATTATCAGACGAAGTTCCATTACCATTGAAAAACACTAATGATAGAACTTCTGAGGTAAAGCTTGTTATAAATGTTTAATGAATACGTGTTTAAATAAACTCATTGTTTTATTAATAATGGGGAATTATTTCGTAAATACTAAAAACAAATACCAAAAGTACGTAAAATACTAACGCAAGTTTAGCATAATATATCTATTTGCTAATTTTAGCCCTGCATACTGGGGAGTATTGGATTTAAATAAAGAGAGTATCAAGGACTTTAAAATAGAGATAAAGAAATATATCTGGATTTTTCTAATATAATCCAAGGGAGTAACAATGTTTTCACTCCAAGTTACATACAAAAATATTTTCAACAACGATTTGTAAGGTATGATCATAACATTATGAATACTTTATACTAGCAAAAACCCATTGGTTTTAGGCGGGCCATTGTTTTACGGGTTGTTGAATGGTAAAAAGTTTTTTTAGCGGAGCAAATAATTTTTTTTAGGGTTAATTATCATTCTACTGACCATTTTTACACATTAAAAATACTCGTGTTTAACATCAAGACACAATAAGATATAAGGTTTGAAAAAAGGATACAAGAAACCAAATCGGCTGATATGGATACTTGGAACCGCTCATTTAGATTATAATTGGATGATTGATTGTGATGTATTTCATAGTTACTTTCAAAATATTCATAAACTAGATTGTTATAGTTTCTGGATTTTTCAATAGATTGGCAACTTATGTGGTCTGGCTCAACTAATTAAAGAACTATTCATATAAGCAATATCTAAATTCGTCAGAGTAATTCAAAAAGGTAAACAATTATATTAAATTAACATTATGAGCTAATAATGATGTATGACGAAACTTTTGATTTTAGTCATTGACGTAACTAAACTATTGACTAAAGGTGGTTTCTCACCAGGGCCATTTTGAAGATTTTACTAAAGTAAAATCACTTGATGCAAGTAAAACCATTTGACATAAGTATAACCATTTGACGTAAGTAAAAACGTTTGATATAAGCAGCAATAATGATAATAATAAAGTAGAGAGTTATCAAAAGTTCCAAATTATGTAAAAATATGTGTCCCGGGGATAAATAAAGAATTATTATATCATTGTATGTAATATTGCAATGATGCAAAAAGAGTAATTATCATGGATTTGAATTAGAAATTTCACTTAAATAAGCTACTTATTTTTTCCATGTATTTTCTTTCAAAATAAAATTTCCTTTTCTTTTTTACAAATTAAAACCATTCTTT